ACTAGTATAACTACTCTGTAGGAAAATTTGACAATGTGGATCATCAAAAGTCTTCAAACTATGCATCATTTTTATCCCTAGAAAACTGGGCAAAAGATATGACAAGACATTCACACCAGGTAGAAATGCAAATGGCTAATAAATACACGAAAAGACGCTCTATTGTTACCTATTAGGTTGGCAAAATAAAAAATGTTAAACAGCTACCAAAAAAAAAGCCCCCACACATAAAATCCAGAGTTTACTAGAGTGGACATGAACAGGCATTTCTGTGTGTGGTTGACGAAAGCATAAACTGCTACAATCTTTTTGGAAAGCAATCTAGCAGCATCAAAAATAAAACTGCACACTGCCTTTGATCTAGCAGTATTGCTTGTAGAACTCTACACCTACAGAAATAAAAGCAAGGGTATATGTGCAAGATGTTCACCATAGCAGTTTATATATAACAAAGAGCCATCAAGGGGTAAAGACTGAATTATTGCACAATCATATGATGTAATTCTTTGCAGCCTGAAATATTTGCAAATGACTATGTATTTTTACTTTAAAAGTATCTCAATATTTTACAGCACAAGAAAATACAGCCATTATATTGTAATAACTTTATTTACTTATTTTTTTATCTTTTGGTTGTGCTGTGCTGCATGTGGGATCTTAGTTCCCTGACCAGGGATCGAACCTGTGCCCCCTACAGTGGAAGCATGGAGTCTTAACTACTGGACTGCCAGGGAAGTCCCCTGTAATAACTTTAAATGGAGTATAATCTATAAAAATACTGAATCACTATGTTGTACACCTGAAACTAATATTGTAAATCAACTATGCTTAAATAAAAAATTTTCAAAAATATTTAAATAAATTGAATGTTTAATACTTAAATATTAAAAAATACTTCAGACTAGTATCACCCACTAGTTATCAAACTGCAGATGTTTGTGTGAAAATACAACTTGACCATATCCACATTTTATCCAACTCAGACTTTTAAAGTATAAAATGACCAAAATAATGACTATTTAGGAATAACATCTTCACACACTAAAAAAAAAAAAAATGACATTAACTTAGTTCCCAACATTTCTATAAAACAAATTAAGCATAATTCTACACTTAAGAAGCAAAAATAACAGTTTAAGGTTGAAGTTCTCTAGCTCAGTAGCTCTCAAACGTTCCACACATCAGAATAACCTGGAGGACTTACTAAAGCAGATTGCTAGGTCCCACCCCAAGGTTCTGATTCAGGAGGGCTAGGGTGGAGCCTGGAAATGTGCATTTCAACAAATTTCCAGGTGATGCTGCAGTAGGAACTGCACTTTGAGAAGCATTGTTTTAGCTCAATGAAAAGTAGCACACATATTTATGCTTTAACTTGGTCATCCTTAAGCCAGATTTACAAATAAAAAGAGATTTTAAAAAGTTATTTACTGGGACTTCCCTGGTGATCCAGTGGTTAAGAATCCGCCTTCCAATGCAGGGGATGCGGGTTCGATCCCTGGTCCGGAACTAAGATTCCACATGCCACAGGGCAAACTAGGCCCGCGTGCTGCAACTAGAGAGAAGCCCACATGCCACAACGAAAGATCCTGCATGCTGCAACGAAGATCCTGAGTGCCGCAGATTAAGACCCAATGCAGCCAAAAAAAAAATAGTTATTTACTGAAGTTCTCACTTAGAAGCAATCAATATAACTACTGACAGTCATTACCAACGTCTGATTTGGCATGTCCTTGACACAGAACTGGAAAAACAACTATTATTATTATCCCTTTTTAACAGAGCAGGAACTAAGGCTCAGAGTGCAAAACCTGTGTTTAAGTGACATGGCCAGAATTCATAACTAGGCTGACAAACCCCAGCAGTTGAGAATCTACCAGAGTGTACCAGGCACAGTGCTAGTCACATAAGAAAAAGATGAGTTAGATAGAGACCTGTCCTCAGGGTACTCATTCTGGCAGGAGATGCAGATTAGACAAAAAACAAGGTGCTAGGAGAAAAGCAGAGGGAAAAAAGTTAACATCTACTTCAAGGGCAATATACACCTGTAGCTCTTAAACTGCAAACCTTGCAATTTAGAATTTGTTAGACTCTTGTAGAGCCTTATATTAGACTTTGTTTCCTGTAGTCCTATTTCTCCAACCTGATTGTCTTCTCCCGAGATGCAAACTCATGTTTTCATGTGGTTCATAAGATACTAACTTAGGAGTTTCAGAAATAATTTTGAAGTAATTGGATGATAGGCTGCTCTTCAGGGATGGAAGCAAGTGTCCCTTCTGTCTAAAATGACACATATTTGAAATATATGCAAGGACCCAGGATTTTTGAAAAACGTTACAAGACAAATGAATTATTATTAATACTATTTCTTTGCACTTAAATCCTAATGTTAGCTGTCCTTAAAAATGTTTAGTTTTAATCAAACTAAACAGTTCAGTCAGTTTTACAAATACTGACTTCTTTCACTCAAGACGTATTAGTAGTCAATGGAATTTCAGCAACTAAGTTTTGGTAGTAAAGTAAGAGCCAGCTAAGGAAGCATTAGCTAAGAAAACTGAGCAGCAGCTAGACAACCAGAGGAAAAAAACCAAGAGTGGAATGTCAAGAAGTCAAGAAATGGGTGTTTCAAGAAGAGTTTGGTCAATTTTGTCAGGTAAGCAACTGTCAAAGAAGGTAAGAACTAAAAGTATCACTGAGTTGTGACACCCTAGTCATTATATCTTAAGTGACAGCACAGAACCCAGAGATGGAGTGGACTGGGAATTATCTGAAGTGAGGAAAGGGAGGCAGCAAGGATAACATGTTGGAGAAGTATGACCACAAAGGGAAGGAAAGAAGTTCAATAGTAGCAGGATAGGAATGGAAGGCTCAGAGAGGACTGATGTTTTGATTTGTTTTAAGGGGAGAAATATGACAATGGAAGCATCGGTTTTCTTTTGATTTGCATCAATATTACAGTGATGATGGTAAATTTTTTTCATTCCAGCAAAAAACATTACCATATAATTTTTCAATTCCCTTGAACTGAACATAAAGGTCTCTCACTTTGCTGGGTAATGAATAAAAAGGACCAAGGTCATCTAATGATGACTCAATTGTTTTCTTAGCAACATTAATTTCTTCAGATAGAAGAGTCTCTTTGAGCTGTTTAGTCCTAGAAAATACTGGTGTTTGAGCCTTGGCATTTCCAGTCATGGTATTTTTTAGATGATCTTTAAGACTTTTTCTCCTATTCGCATCTGAACTAGTTCTGACTTTAGAAGAGGATTCATCAGTTTGCTGTGGTTGCTCTACGTTATTAATGGGCAATTCCTCGTTCACAGTCTTGTGAGAGGATGAGTTCCAATCCCTCTCTTCAGTAGATGGATCACCCAAATCATTTGAAGAGCTATATAAATTTTCAAAGAATAAAACCTGTGAAGAAGGTATATCATACAAAACATCAGCTTCAGGATCAATAGAGACATCTTCATGCCCACTCTGGTTCTTCGTGTGCTCATCTATTTTTAATTCAGTATAGTCGCCTACAGCAGTAATGCTGAGTGTGTTGTGTTTAATGCTTTCTGAACAAAGATCTTCAGTGGCATGGTCTGTAGCATGTTTCCTATGTTCAGGAAGTTGCAAATATTTTTGTTCCAGGTCATCAACTTGAGCTAAAAAAGAGTTTTCAGCAAAGCTATCATAGTCACCAAACATGTCCTCTTCACTGTCAATATTCTGGAAAGAAGACAAAAAGATTTATGGTCAATTCTAGCTTCATTAAGAATAAAAGTTCCAGCTGAGGGCTCTATCAAGCATATAATTATATGGTCACTTATGGATCATAGACCTAAATGTAAATCAGCCTATAAAATAGATACTATCATCCCATTTTACAGATCAAGAAATGGAGGCCCAGAGAGGTTAAGTGACTGGCATAAACTGTCCTCCTAGTGATGCTGGGATCCTAATTCTTAAGCTAGTGCTAAATCCTTTAAAATGGCAGCAAGACCGATAACCATCTACTGGAAGGGGAGAAGTTTCTGATAACCGCAGTGCCGTTTCACCTCCAATACTCCATTCTGCAGAGACTGGCCTGTAATAAAATCATGCTTGTACCACTGGACTCTCCAAGGAGATTGTTCTTAGAAATCTGGAATTGAAAGGGAGTGTCTGACTTGGTATGGTCTATAAACAAAAGAGATGGAATTTGGAGGTAGCAATATAGGGGAGTGATTAAGAACCCAAGATTTGGAGTAGGAAATGTAGTTTCTTAACTTCTCAGGGCCAGATTTCTGTTGTAAAATCTAGATAACGTAAATAGTTTAACAAAGTACTCAGCACATAATAGGTCTGCAATAAATGGTAGATTTTTAGTACAAGGAGCAGCAGAAACTTGGAAGTCTAGGTTTGCGTCTGGTCATGCCACTTACTTGCTGCATGTACAACTTCTGTCTCGGGGTTTCATATCCATATAATAATGGGGCTAACAGTGCAACACCTCACAGGTGAGGATTAACAGCGATAACAAAGACGAGGTAAGCCCACGAAGGCTAGTAGATAATTGGTCAATTGTTTGCATCTGTGAAGGGAACTGCCAAACTTCTTGGCGTTCCAACCACGCCTTCTTCAGCTGGTCTCCCGCGCCTCTTTCAGTGAGCATGCGCAGTGGGAGACCTGGATTTGTATCATCAACACCCAGGTAGGAAATGGAACGTGGAACTCAGGGGAATTTGAGAGATGACGGGGCTGTACCTCGACCGGCTGCACGTCCATGGTTTTTCGCCGCCGGCTCCCAGCCACCGTCTCCTCGTCCTCGTCCTCCTTCTCCTCATCGCCGGGCTTAAGCACGGCCGCGGTGAGGGCGGCAAAAACGCTCTCCAAGCTACGACGGTTCCTTTTGCGGACCGACACCCGCCGGCGGATGCGGGAACAACCTTCATCCATGGCAGGGGCTGGGGGCCCTGCCTGGATGTCGTTCCGCGTGACCCAGCTGCCAAACCCCAGTGAAGGGGTGCGCGCAGCAACAGGGGGACGGTAGCAACAGGCGGAAACTGCGCTCGCCTCTCCATCCACCTTTGGGAGGGATCACAAACCAATTGTCAGGGCTTTGAACCGGAAGCGGAAGCACAGACGTAGGAGCCCGCCCTCTCTTCGTCCAATCTTGCGGCGCGGCAAGAGGGAGAGGAGGAGAACGGGAAGGTACTGCGCAGGTGCATAGAAATCCCCACCTGCTCTTTCCTTGGATTCCCAGCGCTCGCCTTCGGAACCTTTGAACCGAGTGCTTGGGCTAACAGGGGAAGCATACCGAAAGTGGCTTGTCCATCCGATTTGGCAAAAGGAAAGGAAGAGGAGGAGCAACGAACCATGGCAGCTATGGTAGCCCTTTGCAGTGGGCTAGGAAGGAGAGCGTTAACGCACTTCGTAACGGCTGCTGTCTGCCTCACAGATTCTGGGGCTCATGCAGGTAAAGTCTCTATATCCTAGGTTCCTTTATAGCGTTGCAGCCGTTTGGCTTAGCCCTTATTAGGTCGGTGGAGTCGTCACTGTTAGCTAAAGGACTCCGGTGTCTAGGCAGTTTTCTCCAAGGTAAATGGGAATCTGTAGTGGCCCGTGACTAGTATTTTAAAGCTGAAGAGGGCGTGAAATATAGCCCAGTACTTTTTTTTTTTAAACGTACGAGGAGAGTGATGGGGTGATTCTTAAAAAGAGGCAGGGACTTGCCCAAGATCTTCGGGTAGACTTGGTAAGGCAGGAGCATTTTCAGTCACCTAGCAGCAAATTCCAGATGTCTGAGGGCCCAGATCTGGGCGAAATTGTGACATGGGCCCTGGAATCTATCATTTCTGCACTTTTATCTACTTTGTGCTTGTCTGTAAAAATCTTTTCATTTTCCTTTGGTATGACAATGCCTTTCAGTTTGCATTAAAATCTGTCTCTTCCCATGGAGAGAAGGGAATATAAATTTCCGGAACAGGGAGGTTGTATGGGTGGAGATATATATGCCCTTTTCCCAAAGCCCCAGAAAGCACATTTATCCTAAGTCTAACTCTGCCTCAAATCTGAAGACTTTTAACCTTCATTTAACCTTGTTAGTATAATGAATATAAAACCTTTCTTTTCTGTTAGGTCCCTTAATTCATCTCGCCTCCACAGAAGCAAAATCTTTCCTTAGCTGCTCAGCTAACGAAAATAATTAGTTCGTTGCTGTTTCTGTTTAATTGCAGTGCTGTGGAGAAGTTGTTCACAATGTAAACAGGTAACCAGCAATGAGGACCTGGTAAGAATTTTTTTCTTACTTGTAATAAAGCATTTGCAAATACGACCAAGTTCTTATGTCTTTGCTATTTGAATAGAGTTCAGCTGAAGGACAAAAACAATTAAGATGATAATCATTAGTCTGTGTTGAAAATTATAATTTATTGAGTAGTTACTTAAGTGAATTTTGAAGTAAGAGAATCCCTAGCTTCCTAGCAAGAAGCATGGCTTCTGTAACACCATATTTTGCTTCCTAGATATGTGCTTTGGGAATTTAAAAAGGTAGTTTTGGTGCATGCAGTAATTGCAGAAAACCTAACAAAGGGATTGTACAAAGTTTACATATACCTTGGCTCTCTTCCTCATTTCAAATTCAATTTTGTCTTCCTCCTATTCATCACTTTGGCTAGGTGGCGGCTGCTTTAATAAATGCGGGATCAAAATTAAAGTTTTATACCAGAACATTAAGTACAGTCTCTTCTAAACTGTAGATGTATTTTTATGGGTTTCAAGTACTATCATTGGGCTTGGGCAGTATAGGTTTTCTTGCTACATGCAAAGATAATTTGACACTAATCAGACCATATAAAGCACTTTGCACAGTGTAGAGAAGGAACACAGTCATTACAGGTAAGCTGAATGTAAATTGGATTAAGAACATTTGAGGAGTTGGAAAAAAACAGAAGAACCCCTCTAGTCCCTCTGAGCATCCATCTCGGTCATCTAATTCACACCATAGTCAAGAGAGTAAAGGAAATTACTAGAGCTCCTCTTTAGGTCATTAAACCCACTAACACTAATGAAAGCTATGGGCTCTCCCAGAAAAAGGCACACAGTCCCATTTATTTGAAAATTTGCATACAACTACAGCGGTTCAGGGACTTCCATAGCCATTTCTACATTAAGAATCTATACTGGAGACACCTAAACTGATTTTAGGAGGGAGGCCTTGTGATAGAAGCATTAGAGGCAGTAGTGAACAAAGAAAAACGAAAAATGCTGACAGAAACTTACAAAACAGTCTGGGGCCATAAAATTGTAGTCAAAGAACCTGATAGTATTACGCTAAGCCTTGTCTTTTTTTATCTTAATTTATTTATTATTTTTGGCTGCGTTGGCTTTTTTTGTTGTTGTGCGCAGGCTTTCTGTAGTTGCTGCAAGCGGGGTCTACTCTTTGTTGTGGTGTGCGGGCTTCTCATTGTGGTGGCTTCTCTTGTTGCGGAGCACGGGCACGCGGGCTCAGTAGTTGTGGCTCGCAGGCTCTAGAGCGCAGGCTCAGTAGTTGTGGCGCACGGGGTAGTTGCTCCACGGCACGTGGGATCTTTCCTGGACCAGGGCTCGAATCCGTGTCCCCTGCATTGGCAGGCAGATTCTTAACCACTGTGCCACCAGGGAAGTCCTGCATTGTCTTTTTACAAGAAAAATAGCGATAAAACATCTAGAGAAATATGGGGATGGATTTAGGGATTATAATTTAAGAATTTCATATGGTATCTGTTGTGCTTAAGTTTTTCTTGATTTAAATCTGAGAGTTTTTAGTCACCTACAGTCTGGACAAAGCATTTGAGGAGAGAATCATTTATCGAAGATTTGAATTTTTTTCCCCCCTCCCATAAGCCCTTTTTTCTCCAAAGATTATATTTTATCCCAGAATCCTCCTCCATGACTTAATTCCTCCTTAGCCAAACTTAAACAAGACACTTGCACAAAATATGTTTGAGTACACTGAAACCTTTAAAATAGTGAATCTTTTTCTGAAATACTCGATTTTTCCTTTACAAGCCTAGCTGTTGTATCCTCTTTCACAGTAAGAAAGGTACAACTAATCCCTTGGAGAGATTTAAATGTGGTAACCTAAGATTTTAAGTTTTTTCGATTCAAAGTTAATACAAACTATATTATCATATATTTTTTTCCTTTAGCCTGTTCCAATGGAAAATCCTTATAAGGAGCCTCTGAAAAAATGTATCTTGTGTGGAAAACGTGTAGATTATAAGAATGTACAGGTGAGATCTGGTTTTACTTCACTATGATACTTGATTTGGGGATTTTGGCTCCTTTATTAATACAATAGAGAAGCAAGTCAGTTTTTATAACAGGCTTTGTGTAGGGTGACTGTTTTAGCGACTTCATAATTTCAGATCTCGTTATACTTCTACGTATTGATACAAGGCATCTCTTTTATTCAAATAAGAGCCCCTTGGCTGTCCCTCATTTACTGTTAATTCAGCTTAGCATTCCTCTTTTTTCTTTGCCCAAAATGTCTTTACAGTAGCTCGCTGTGGCAGTGATTCTCAGTTGGTGGAGTTCAGTAGTTTGGGAAAAGCTCCTCTGGTGAAGTTGATCTCTACCTCACCACCAATATCGCTATTTCAAATGTAATTTTATCTGTTGTCGAGCACTCAGCAAATTAAAAGTGGCAAATTTAGGGGAGAGAATGGTGCTGGAGCTAAGTATACTGACAGTAGTATAAAGTGATAGCTGCCTTGGTGGGAGAAAAGCCAAGGAATTTTAAAATGCAACGTATTAGGATTATGCATAGTGCCTAGAATGATGCCTGGTACATAGAAAGTGCTAAAGAATTTAAATTAATAAAACCTAAATAACAGCAAACGGCCTGATGTACCTGTGCATCTTGAAGACCTCATTGTAGTCTGATATTATGTGATAGCCTATCATGATAGATGAAGCGTTTTGTACCTTGTTATAAAAGCAACAGTATTTGAGAAAAGTTATCTGTGGAAAAGTCAAGAGAACAGCTTTAGCACTGAAAGAATACGCTCATTAATCTGTTGTATAGATTTTTTGACACACTGGATAAGAGATGTCAACTTTGGTGATTACTTTAGTTATTTAAAAAGATGACCTATTAATAGAATGAACATAATTCAGTGTTTTTATTCATATTTTGAAGTTTGTCTGAAATGTATTAATAAACCTTTACATAACTTGAAGGTGTGGCATAAGGTTTTTTTTTTAAATTTACCATTCAAGATTGAATAACAAGTGTATTAATGTAAATTTTTTTCCTTTTCAAATATAACTCAAAACAGCTTTTATCCCAGTTTATTTCTCCATTTACTGGATGCATTTATGGAAGGCACATAACAGGTATTTTGTTTTCTATATATTATAGCAACTTAAATGTAGGTAAGACTTATATAAAGCTACTTCTGTTATTTAAGGAAACTGGCAGATTTTCAAATAGTGCTACAAATTACTATGACACCAGATACTATGGCTAGTTTGAGAAAGCCTCTTCTTAGGCCAAAGGATAATTATTTTGCATGTCTTCTTATACTCAGTTAACTATAGGCTGACAATATGTAGAAAACTTGGGCTTAAAAAAAATTGCTTTGCTGTTTGGGAGTATACTATAATCATCCCCAGGCTATTATTTAAACCAGGGGCCTGTTGCCTATAGGCCAAATCGGATCTGCCACTTGTTTTTGTAAATAGCTTAGTTTCCAGTGTCTGAGCTACAACAGCAGAATTGAGTAATGATGATAGAGACTGTATGGCCCACAAAGCCTAAGATAGTTACTATCTGGCTCTTTACAGGTTTTCCAATCCTTCCATGACATAGACATTTGTTACGCATTTTGATTACTGGCATTTTTTTACGAATAAGAAAGCAATTTCTTTTATAGGTCTCTGTGGGAAGAAACAAAAAGAAATCACAAAAGCAATTAAGAGAGCTCAAATAATGGGTAAGAGCATCTGAAAAACTGAATTATGCTAACCAAAATTTTGCTCATTATCTTTTGTGAAGAACTTTCATTATCTCTTTACAGGGTTTATGCCAGTTACATACAAGGATCCTGCATATCTCAAAGACCCTAAAGTTTGTAACATCAAATACAGGGAATAAATTCTATAAAGTTATCATCAATAAATTTATTTTACAGTTGTGTGGTATTAATACTGGCTCAAACTGTAAGCTTTAATAACCTTTGAGTAGAGAACTGATAGGCTAAATCTTATCAAACTATAAAGTATTATGTTTTTAATTCTTAATAATTTGAAATTATATGAGGAAAAAGTGTCTCAAGTGTGAAGTTTCCTCTCCATATCAGAATGTTCATTAAGTAAATCAGATTATTTAAAATGTTAATACTTGTTATATTTTACATACATATGAATTAAAAAAAGGTACTATGGGATTTTCACTTATATCTGGCCCCCAAATAGCTCATACAGCATACCACTGATAATGAGATGTTAAACATGGAAGGGATGACTTGTATTGGGATTTTACTTTAGGCCCAGATTCTGTGTTGTAAATAGTATTGTAGGGATATGGGTGCAGGAAAGTGGAATGCTTATATAATGTACAAATCCCACATGACAGAGTGTGGATTTGAAATTGCTAAGGAAGATTTTCTAACACATAAATAATTATGCCTGGCTAGGACTATGGGTCTTCCCTCTGTAGAGATGTTATGTGGGGATGAACAGTGGTGCTGTCTGTCACAGGACCTAACATTTACTCCTGGACTAGTCTATCATGAACTGGTAGTGTACTGTAAATAAACCGATCCATAGGCAATCTGTTGTATCATCTTCTCTTACTCCAGTGATACAAACTGATCGCCAAAAGATGGAGAATAACTGAGAAAAAATGTCCTACAAGGATTCTTTTCCTCCTTTTCATTTAGTACTCTGAAAGTTGGGACATCAGACTTAATTATTTTAACATTAGGGTTCAGAATGAACCCCATTTCCTCTCCTGCCCTGTGCTTCTTATGTAACTAGTAAAGCAATCCCAACAGCAACTCATTATTTGCACAAATCATCCCTGGTATTATGTGGGCTTCATAAACACCCCATGGTAACTAATGCATGTTAACACATAGATAAAAGATGATAGTTTTTGATACTAGCTATGAATTTGCTCTATCATTTAGGAAATAAGTGATGGAAGAGCAGTGGTCAACATGTGGGTTCAGCATTTCACCCAGTGAGTAAAGCATGAAGGCATCATGTGATTATGCTTCATGGGAAATTCTGTTATGGAAAGGATAAATAGAAAAAACAAACAGTAAAAGCTCTCTTAACCAACCTCCACTTAACCAACTCACTGGATTAAACAGGGGCTTTACATCCTCCTTAAAAATCACACGGAAGCCCATGACTCTTAACCTGTTGAGTTCTACATTACCAAGAGTCATCTATTTTGTTCCCAGACCTTATCAGTTGTATTTTTGTAGTGATGAATATGAGCATTAAAAATAAAGTTTCAGTTGCAGTGAAAACCAAGTAAATGCTCTGAGAAGACTTGATAAAGATAACTAGCTTTTAAAAAAAAATAGTTCTCAAATTAGGTGTGGTTAGGACAAATAAGATTGGGAATGGAAAATGAAAAAACCTAGTAGCATTTTGTACTTAGGTTGCTTTGCAAATTTCTTTAAAGAAACTAAAATTGGGGATTATATAGGGTAAGTAATGGGTTTGATTTACATAGGAACTCCAACACATTCGTAAAGTTTCTGGCCCTGCAACAAAAGTTTGACGAATGTACACTTATGCTTTATGTTAAAGTGAAATCTCTGATAGACACCTTATTTATGTATCATTTGAGTCCCACTTAACTGGCCTTTTCACCTAACTAACCAACTGCTGATCCCAAACATATTGCATTACCAGGCTTTGTTCTGTACTCAAATTCTGAACTGACTCAATTTAAAGTACTTTATAAGATAAATGAACTAGAACTTACCTATGTGTTATTGCAAAGAGCTGAACATAGTAAAAACAATAGCCATGTTTGGCTTTACCCTTCATCTGATGAAAAATCTCCTTTCAGCCTAAAAGAATCAAAAGGTAGGAGACTGTGGATATTCACCAGAACCGTTCATTTTCTCAATCTCTTCATCTGTTTCTGGGCTGCTCACTGTGGATGACTTTTCTTGGTTACTGCTATCAGTATCTGTTTTAGATGGTTGGTTCTGTATCTCTAACAGCCGTGACTTCTTGAATTGCCATCCACCATCTGTACCTGAAGCTTTACGCTTAATCATTTGCAGTGCACTACCAGCTGGACTAGCTTCAGGAATGTCAGTATATTCCACCATTAGGGTCAGGTTGTCTACCACATTGAGATGGTGGTTGGTATTACAACAACTTTTAGAAATGTGTCTATTTTTCAAGGAGATAACACATGAATGAAGAAATTCACAATCGGGAAAAAAGGTCTGTAAAGCTTGACAAAGAAAAATGTTCTCCTGAGGGTCTTTCTGGACATTCTTCTCTCCTAAAGAAACAAACAAATATTTCAACATACAGTATTTATACTACAAAGGTTTTATAGTTATCTGTTAGTAAAGTCAGAGACTTTAAAGAATCATATCAAATTATCTAAATTAAGAGAAATGATAATCCCAAATTTATATGCCACAATATCCTCAGAGAAAATTAAAGTTGTTATATTTTTTAACATCAAGGTAGTATATCTATAGTAGTACCATGTTCTCTGTTCAGTGGGATTTAAGAGTATTAATGAAAGTTATTTTTAATCCTAAAGTGAACAAATTGATCAGTTAGTGCAAGCAGCTCATCCATTATTCCAATCAGTGAGAATTTTTCTTCAAAGCACAGAAAGTAGTGATATGTGAACTTTTTACTTACGTGTTGCTTGAATCTGTGCTTGCTTTCTTTTTTTAATTTCTCGTTTTAATCTGTTTATATCCTTTAGTAGTTTCTCTACTGCTCTCTCACTGTGTTCTACTTTACTGCATATACTCTGGAAAATAAAGTAATTTAAGAGCATAGATAAAGTTCCAAGTTGTAATACTACAACCTACGTTCACAAATAATATAAAATCCTTCATGGTGTATAACATCAAATATTTTCCTTTATAAAAATTTTATTTTATTTTGCTATTTTCTGGAGGAACTCACCAACAAGCATTTCTATGGTGCTTCATAGGTTACAAAATGCTTTCCAGATATATTAACTTCCTATTTATACAAAGTTTTATCATTCAAGTTATTTCCTAGATAATACACAGAAATAAAAAACAAAAATATTTAACTGCTTCAAAACAAAAAATACTGTACTATTTTGAGATGCATACTTATTGCAAACATTTAAGAAACTGCCAATAACAAAGTGACTTTCACTATTACAAAAGAAAACTACTGAAGATTTTAATTCCCGTAAAACTACTTTTGAAAAGCAGAATGGCCTTATGTGTCATCAGTTTTTAAGTACTAATATCCTTTGACTCAGTGATTTCATTTGGGGAATATATCTTGAATCAGTAACAAAAATTTATATAAGATGATATTTCTTAGAATAGTGTCAAATCAAAAGTAACTAATTTCCAATTATAGTGTAATGGTTTGTTAGAGCCAGTTTTAGTGGATACTTCATGGAACATCTGCCCAGCTTACTTCTCATGAACTTGTTCATCCTGCCATAAGAGTTCACCAGTAACCCTTTCACCAACTTTCACCCTAGCTGACCCAAGCAGAGTTAATTACAATAGCCAATAGGCAAATCCTAATCTCTTGAATAGAAGAGATTAAATGCAGAAGCTATAGGTTAGCTCTTTGGTCAGCCAGTAGGTGAATAAACAGCAAGATCTGTAAATACTATGAAGGAAACCAACAGGCAGACACAAAGGGAGAAAGTTAGTTTTTTTGTTTGTTTGTTTTTTGGCCACTTGGTGCAGCTTGTGGGATCTTAGTTCCCTGACCAGGGATTGAACCCTGGCCATGGCAGTGAAAGCGCCAAATCCTAACCACCACCAGGGAACTCCCAGGAGTTAAAGTTCTGATGGCATTCAAGCTCCTGGTTCCAATTCCTTCCTAGAGCTCAGTGGCCTTCTGCCCACAGTTCCTCTCACATACCTCTACATTCCCTAATTTAGCCCAAGTTGGTACTTTTTTTTAAAGTTAATTTATTTATTTTTGGCTGTGTTGGGTCTTCATTACTGCGTGCAGGCTTTCTTTAGTTGCGGTGAGCAGGGGCTACTCTTTGTTGCAGAGCACGGGCCCTAGGTGTGCAGGCTTCAGTAGTTGTGACACGCAGGCGAACTAGTTTTGGCTCGCGGGCTCTAGAGCGCAGGCTCAGTAGTTGTGGTACACAGGCTTATCTGCTCTGCAGCATGTGGGATCTTCCTGGACCAGGACTCGAACCCATGTCCCCTGCACTGGCAGTCAGATTCTTGACCACTGTGCCACCAGGAAAGTCCCCAAGTTGGTACTTTTCACATTAGAGTTCTAATATACTGCTCTAAGAAATATACTGCTATTAAAAAGAACTAAAATGTGGAAAGTGTTTAATTGTACATCAAATAAAAATCATGACACAAATTTTCTATGTCCCCATCACTGTCAACAATGTAAAAGCATGTATACATTAGGGGGAAACTGGAGAAAATTGGAAAGTGCAAAGAGTTAAGTTACAATGGTAGGATTCTGGATGTTTTCCTATTTTCTAAAATTCCTGTATTATATTAAAAAACAATGTGCAATATTAAGAGTGTGTAAAATGCATTAACCCCATTTCTCTTAGTGTGCTCTATTGGTGAGTATTGTGGCCATGGAATATACTACTCAGATCTCCATTTGCAGGAAGCAGAGCTGACTGACAGTTCCAGGTGCCATCTTTTTGGGTCCACTACTGTGCTTGTGCTTAGGTCATGCTTCCCCTAGGTTGCTCTTAGCCACCGACTGAGCACAGTGAGGATATCGGTATAATTCTATTCCTGTAGGATGCCTTTGCTCAAAGACTCTCCATCAGCCTGGCTGAAATTTTTCAGGCCTTGCAGTCTAAAGCTCTTCCTACCCAATCATTCTCCTTTCCCTGTCTCCTTCCTCAGGTGTCAAACTTACATTGCAAGTCTCCCTGCCACTCCTGCTCCCTCCCCTCAAGGGACCTGAATGGACACAATGAGGTAGAACTTAGT